TACAGTGGGTGTACCACAAGATACGATAGATACAGTAGTTGAATATATAGTAGCAGTCTGTTTACAACAAAATTAAAATCTTTAACCAAGCAAAATCTTGTCTGTCGGTAAAAAGGAAATGTATTATAAAGTAGAAATACCTTTACAAGCTTGAACTTTTTTTGGTATTCGTCTTTTTTCCCCTTCGTGTCTTCAAGGGTCCTCTGGGCAGCATAAATGATGACATTTTCATGAAGTTTATTATCCACCCACATCACAAACTGAGAGTCAGTATCCTGATGTACATTTTTCATTTAAACATTTTTCTGAAAAGAGTGAAAACTTCAAAGCTACAACTGAATTAAATATATGCTACTATGACCAAATATATTTGATTTTGTCAGCAAACTAATAAGTGAAGATGGCTATCTTCTGGGTTGCAGACATTATGAAGTATGGTAGAAATTCACGAACGGTTTAGAGGTGCCTGCTGCCTCCATCATCAGGGCGTCACCCTGATGATGAAGACAACAGGCACCTACCACACTACACAGTACCATAACTCAGAATACAGCTATCTTCATACTCACTGCTGTAAGGACCTAAAATCCCATTCAGCTAGTTTAACAAATTAGAAGAATGAGTGGAAATAAAGTCTTAATAAAACATGTTGTGAAAAACACAGACGTCTAGACGTTACTTCTTAGAACGTACTTCTTCTTCTATGAAGATATTCCATACGTACCATCTCAATTTGCATGAGCAAGCTTTACAGCTCCTTTTCTCTATCAACTTTTTTAGACTTCAATCTTTCCCGTTGTGAGTTCAACTCCTCAGAGAGATCACGCAATCAACTCTCCAAGATCTAAAAATATATAATTACCATGTTAAGTTCTTTCACAAATTATTTTGTTATCCATAGTTACATATAAATACTGGAAATGAAGATGATCGCCACAAACAGAAATATATTGCTCCAAGTCTTTCAAGTCTTTCTCACAGTCAATACGTTTTGATGCTAACTCTTCCTTTAATGCCAATTTTTGATTCAGTTCCTTCAACCAAATATAATATGTATATTTCAGTATCAATTAGAAATGGTAAGCCTGGGTAACATGAAAATATCCACATGTGAATTTCGGTGCTAGAAGTTGCACGGACGAAGCTAGATGCCATTCCACTTCAGGTACATCAAAAACCATCCCAGCTCTTCTATGGTTGCTTATGGCCAGGCCAAACTGTCTTATTCTTTATGCTCAATTTTACAAAACTCCGAAGGAAAATCTGTGACACAGTGCACAAGAGGAAGAAACAAGTTCTATTTCTATTCCTACTTTTGCCACGGCCAATCCATTAGTCTCTTCAATACTAGTTTTAAAAGTATCAGTAGATTATGAATTGGCCAATAGTCACTATTTATGTTTAACATTCGAGGCTGTGAGTGAGGAAAACGGAGAGGCTTATAGAAGTCGAGTGAGAGGAGTGCAGTTCCCGATGTGACGCTACGTTTACGCGTCGAGAGTTGAAATCTATTTCCTTGGTGACTTGACAACGATCTTGCATTGTGAATTGTGTGGACTGCAAACAAGCGTACGACATCCAAGCATTAATAGAATTTCAGGAACGTATTATTACTGAGTCGGCAGAAACGCACTTTACAAAGTTCTTTACGTGTGCCAAAAATAAACACAAAGTAGGCAGGCGAAGTCAGAGAAAGCCACGCAGATGCCCGCAGATTTGTTTTCTGGTGCCCCCCAGATCCTTCCCTAAACAGATGACGCAGAGGGAATTTTGTCTTTGCCTCAAGGTTTCTCGTATCTGCGGTAAGGTTAAAATTTTGAAAAAATGCATAGGTTATGTTAATGAGGACTTAACTACGAACTGTGGCAGTTAACGGGTACGCCGTGATGTAGCAGCAACTTCTCCGACATCTTCGTACTGCAGGGCAGTCTGAACAACTACTGGCAGGTGTTACATAAAGAAACAAAGAGCTGAACTGTCAAAATAAGCAAAACTTTGTTTTCTTTTCAGTCTGCATTATTCTATTTACTTTCTGCTACTTCCTTGTCTTAATTTTAATTTATTTCTCTCTTGCGTTTTATTTATTTCTCGTATATTATTTGTGCCCTTTCGGATCTTATTCTTTCGTTTATGTATTGATATCTTTGTGTTCATTTATCTATCTTTCTATCTTACTTTTTAGCCTTGAATTTACAAATAATTATGCTGAACCCTGTGATTCGTGCAAGATGGTTATAAAACTCTCTTAATTTATCTTATCGTTCGCGACATCCTGCAGCTAACAAAACTAACCAGGCGCCATGTCGCATCTCTGTTCAACTCGTAACACTGAACATCAATTCCCACTCTGAGGGATCAGCACATTTCTAAACTGTTAGAGGACGCAATCGAAAAAGTGGCAATATTTGGAGCATAAGAGGCAACTGAAAGAATTATAAAATGTCTTAACCTGGGCTTTATAAATCGTATTCTTCACTTAATATTATAAGGTAATTACAACTTGTATGCGATGCACAGAATATGTAGCACGCATAGGAAATATGAGATAGTCATAAAATCTAAAGGAAAAATACCACTTGGAATAATCATGCATAGATTGCAATGTAATATTAAAATGAAGATGTGTGTCTTCAGAGATATTGTGTTATAGGCAGTAAGCACCGCTGAAATATTATTTAGTAACTACCAGATTATCATCAATTGGTATCCATCAGTGTAACATCTCAGAAAACTGTCTTCATATTTATCGCCTTGAGAATGGTAAATCCTACAAATGTAAATGAGCCAATGAACAGAGATAATCACCATTAGCAAGCTTGATTTCCTTGTACATGATAACCTGCATGCCTGCCAGTCTTTAGTTCATTGCCAGGTCAGAGATTGTTTTAGAAATTGAAGAATCAACTGCTCTGTATAAGTTTACAAACCTCTTCATCAAACAAGCACATATGTACAATTAAAATGCTGTCATACACTTCGACTTCCGAAAGAAAAAGTTGTCAGTGCAACCACGGATCCGGAGAATTTGAAGTAAATACGTCTTTACGGAGAGGAAGTTTATATATTGGCTTTATTCTAAATAGTTCCTTTATACATGCTTTACAATTGAGTAAAGTTTGATTAAGACAATGCTTATTTAACTTGAATTAGTAAGGCTTCAGATGGGTCTGCGGTAGATGAATGTAATGTAAGGTAAGGTAATGTAAGGTAAGGTAAGGTAAGGTAAGGTAATGTAATGTAATGTAAGGTAATGTAATGAGAGGTAAGGTAGTGCCATGTAAGGTAAGGTATGGTAAGGTAATGTAAGGTAACTATAAAGGTAACCATCATTGTTTATTTGTTGATAAACAGATGACGTTTCCAAGGTAACATAACAATGAAGTTACACTTTTTCGTTTCCCAGGTAAAATAACAATGAAGTTTGACGTTTCCTAGGTAACATAACAATGAAGTTAAACTTTTTTGTTTCCCTTTTTCGTAGCACTATTTCGTAACACTTTTTTGTAACACTTTTTCGTTACATTTTTGCCGAATGACACTGACCCTAACATATAGACGTATTTACGTCAAAAAATTGTATAGTTTGAGGGAATGAAATGAGAATAAAAATCCTTATACACAAGTATTTATTCTTGTAACACACGCATTTCCTTGCATTTCAACAAATTACCCAGAACACTGCTGTTCCATTATCTAACATCTCACATGTTTATTCAAATTACAATCCGTCACATATTATTTTAAATTATAAAAAGCTTAAAACCTATTTCCATACATCATGCACAAGGTAAATGAGTAGTTAACAAATATATTTTAAGATGTTTCAATACTATTCTCAAATACTGTGATCGACATTTCAAAACCACATTAGTAGAACTAAAGTGGACAGACAAGAAGGAACTCCAATTTTAAAACAAATTAAAATACATTCAAAGCTACTTTTGTTACAGTATAACACAGCATTAACATTAACAAGTATCTAAACAATCAAATACTTAAGGTAAAAGTGCACACGGCAGAAAATGATTAATTTCTCTCGGAATACTTTTTATTTTCTAACAAATATTTAGTGAGTTGTGTAACGGTCCAAATTACATCTTCTGCTGAGGTAATTTGATCCTACCATTTAGTTCTTTTATTATTTTATTAGGCTGAATTTCTTTTTACTTTTCGTTTCAAAATTCTAACTTGTTGT